AGACAACACTTGATAAGGAAGCTTCATATTTCCTCTAGACAGATGTAAAGAATAAAGAATGTATGTAGAAATGATCAGTTTTAACTCGTGCATGTAGTCTTCATGTGTTAACCTCTTTTTAATTTCTTACTTACTGATTAGTCAAGGAAGCAAATACTTTCCTGCTTCTGTTTAAGCAATGGCAATTTTCAAAGAATTATCAAAATTTATTAAAAATCATTTAAAATTATTTATATATGCAAAAAAAAAAAAAAATTCAGAATTCTTGAATGTTCTCAAAATAGCTGAGCTGTTTCCACTTATTAAAATAATGCTATATATTGTGAATTAAACGCAAGAGAAATTTCAGTAAAGCTAGCAACAAACATTACATTATCCTTATGACTTTTATTGTTGATTATTATTAATATATTTACAGTTCATCTTTGATATCTCAAACACCGATATCTCGAATACTATATGGATATGTTGAAGTGATTTGATGTCCCAACAGCTTATTCCTTAAGTATTTAACCCTGAATATCTCGAATCCTTGGATATCTCGAAGTATTTTCTCGGTCCCATTAAGTTCGAGATAACGAGGTTTGACTGTATTGTTTTTCAGTTTATGTTGCGTATAGTTTCTAAGTAAGTTTCAAACTTGATAATAGTTAATATTTCCCTGTAGACAAGGCAGAATCATTTTTTAAAAGTACATTGAACGGATGAGTTTGAAATGTTTTAAATGTTTTTGCTTCAATTTGTTTTCAGCAGTGTACTTCCAAAGTATTGAAGTCATTAATAACTAAAAGTTTTAAAGGTGTCATGGGATTGTAAATGATATACTTTTACGTAGAAAAATCCATATTTTATACCCAGTTTGGTAATGAAATTTAAATAATTAATGCCTTGGTGTTAGATCAAAGAATTTATTGAAGCGAAAAAATCCACAATGCACTGTTTTGTTTAAATATCTATACACACCCATTATTTGTGATCTATCACACACACAATGAACTGTATGGGGTAAATGATAATTTTCCTTACAGTCTCCTAACTTCATACAAAATTTTGATTCAAACTTTGGCGTGTAAATGTTGCATTATTATTATATAATAGTTGATAAAAGTTAATGATATTTATATTCAAGATCTTGTGTTTTTATTAGAAATATTTTGATTCTTATTAGAAAGCTTGTGTTTGTATTCGAAAAAGTCATTTATAATTTTAAAAAATCCCAAAAAACTATTCATATTTGATAAACTTATTATATATATGCGAAATCTTGTGATTTATATGCAAAATCTAATGATTTATATTTGATAAGTTTTTATATTCATATTCGAAATCTTGTTTTCATATTACAAAAATTGATTCACATTTCATTTTTGCATATGAATAACAAGTTTATGAGTTGAATGACAAGCTGATTGTCTACAAATTTTCCGTTTGTCCGATCATGAAAAGGAGTACACGGCGGATACAACCGGTCGACAGAAGATGCTCACTCCTCTATGGCACCTGATCCCATCTCTGTTTTTAGAGGTCCGTGTTGCTCTGCTCCCAAGTTGTATTGTTTCAATGAACTTTTGAGATTGATTACTGTTCGTTATCTCCATAAATCATGAATAACAAGTTTATGAAATGAATGACAAGTTGACAAAAAATAACAATTATCGAAAATAAATCACATAGTTTGGAATATCAATCACATGACTTTTTCATCTAAATCACAAAATTTATCGCATATATCCTGTAACTTGCATAATATTGTACCTTTATACACCATACTATTTGCACTTTTTGTTGATTGAAGTGAGGATTTTCATAATTTTGAAAATTGAAAAGTTTCAATATTCATAAATATTAATTTAAACTAAGATGATTCTTTCTCATTTCTCCCCTTTAAAATCATCATGCATATGAAACCTGTTATCGTTTTTAAGAAAAAATATATTTAACAAGAGGTAAATTTCATTAAACAATTCTTCCGAGTTCGACGTATATGACGATGGAGCATATGACATTTGATAGCAAGCGCTTAAAAGCTTCTAATTTACACTTATTTGAAAAATTAAATTGGAATCAAAATATCAACAGAAAAAATGAAAACATACACTCATATAGAGTTTTTTTTTTTTTTTTTTTTTTTTTTTTTTTTTTTTTTTTTTTTTTGGACATATATTGAAAATATTTCATATTCATAATGTATGTATACATAAATGTTAATCATTTTACTTTCATTTTAGATTTGCACATATCATTTATAATTGCTGACACGTGAGTTTGTATCACAGAAGGAGGTATGTGTGTATAATGATCGGGAAATTCATTATTACCATCCAAATTTTGCCAGTGTCTATAATGAAGATTTCGCCATCGAGCTATAGCCCTAAAATGGTGATTATCGGATGACCAGTATTTCGGATAAAGTTCAATAAGACCCCCATGTTTTGGTAGAAACAAAGCCAATGTTAGGCCTGCTCCGTGCATTCCTATAAGAATATCAGTGTTTGCAATTGCAGAGAGCTGATCTTGCATAGACAATTTATCAGTTTGTATGCTGGCAATGGAGTGAGTAGGGTAAAATTTTTGTAAAAACTGTTGTAAGTCTTTCTCGTTTTTTATTTTTCGACTTACAAGTCCTTTCGGATTTCGGGGATGCGCAACATAGTCCCTCCTCCAAATAAAAAGAATGGATAATTTATCACAATTTAGCGTTTTTGTCAACGGAATGTTATGTTTACTCAAATAGAAATGTTTGAATGATTCAATATGTGGTAGAGTTGGCAAAAAATGGTCATACATTGGACTTCTGTATCCCTGAATACTCCATATCAGAGACTTAAAATGCTTAGGTTTCTTTAACTGTCCAGCGCGTATGAATTCTCCAAACAAAGTAGTCCAGACAGAATCTAAGCCTCCTTGTGGATGACTGTCTACAAACAGAATGTTAGCAGTTAAACTTTCCACGTTAAAAAATAAAAGCATCAAAAATGCATTGTACCAGTCCGTCATAGTGTGATATATATTGGCGTATTCATATCGAGTCACTGCTATTGTAATATTGTGAACATCTTCTTCCAGTGAGGTAAATGTTAATGCAGGTCTCAAAGCCGAAATCCATTTAGCTAGGTGATCACTACTTGGAAACATATACTGGAAATTCTTATTTTTACACTGAATTTGAAAATAACCGGGCTTGAGTATTAAGAATTCCTTTTCCTCTGGCTGATTAATAACATTTTTGATTTCTTCTCCACCCGGAGGACCAGCGCTAAAGAAAGGATCCAGAAAAACGTCGCTTAATATGGCAAATAAATGGGCAAACCCCTTAAATCTGTTTTCGCAGAAAGAAGTTTCTGCTTTTGACCATTCTTTCAAGGTACTATCCTGAGAAATATGGATATTTTGTAGATACAATTTCTGAAAAGTTACTTTTTTGTCAATTTTGGAAACTTTATGCACTAGTTGAGTTTGGTACAGGGACCTATCGTATCCAAGCTGTTCAGTTTGGTACTTGGACCTATCGTATCCAAGCTGAGCCAGAGGTCCATGAAATTGTGTATAGAGAGAAAATAGTACCAACAGGTAAATAATCACTAACGTGGTCAGAAAGAGTTTCCACCGAAATTTCATACTGCATTCTGAAATTTAAAAAGGAACAGGTACTGTAAACATGTTTTGTTTTCAACAGACACGTACAAATTGTAGTTTTGTTTGATATTTCTAGAAGCCTTCTCTGACTAAATAGCCATAATTAAAATACACATAATAACAAAATGCACAAAATACCTGCTTAATGACTAGCACATGTACTGTTACATTTATATTCGTGACAGCGAGGCAATATTACAACATGATCAAGTGTTCAATGCGTTTCGCACCCTGTTATAGGGTTTATTTTACCTATTTTTTTGCGCTCTACGTTATAGATGATTTTTTTTTTATTTATTTTTACAAAACAATGTTTATGTAGAGCTTAGTTCTAGATGAAGATTGATAATGGGGGAACCAAATGTAGGAAGAATGATCAGTTACTTTGTGTGATACAAGAGATGTATATATATTAACTAGTATACTAGTATTTACATGTACATCCCTGGTGACACAAAATTTAAAACTGAAGAATACATTTGATATTTCTGATTTTCGTTTTAAACTGATTTAATAGTTATTGATAAGACTGCTGGTAAGAAATGAAAAAAAATAGAATTTACATTGTGAAAGATTCTTTTAAACATTTATTTCTTCCTTCAAAAAGAGAAGAAAGAGTATGTCTAAGAATTGCTTTCAGTTTTTTTTAGTTGAGATGAAATCATGCAGGTATGTCAATGAATTAATATTTATCCAGTTACGTTATTTTTCTTTAGACAACAGTGCACGTTCTGACACTATCTTCTAGAATACTTGGGGATTGACCATAGACTATAAAGTAGATAAAGTGTTAGATTTGATATTAGTAGAAATGTTCTCCAGATATTTTGAGATTCTTTAAACAAGCTAAGGCAATGAATTGATAAACATTAATAAACAAAAAAAAAATGTCATGTCAAAACTTTATTAAAATTCCATCCCAATCACGTACAGTGGCTTTTGTGCATATCATAATTACAAATTCATGTGACTTATTTAAAAAGATTCCTGAATACGGACGACATACTTCATCTTAAAAACACGTAAAAGTGAATTACATAAAAAAAAATTAAAGACATCAATCACTGTATTCTTTTCTTGTTTAAAGTAAATCTTACGAATTTTGATGCATCGGATGCGCATTTTAAACTTATAATGACGTTTTCTGATTGTTTTGGATTTTTGGATTGTACATTAATTTATGCATTTATGGATAATCTTTAAAATAAAAAATCAGTATAGTGTTTGGAGGTTGTTGAGGATGAGAATTATATATATATATATATATATATATATATATATAGAGAGAGAGAGAGAGAGAGAGAGAGAGAGAGATAGATATAGATATAGATGTGTGTGTGTGTGTGTGTGTGTGTGTGTGTGTTAAACATGTTAAACAAAGTTAATTCAAGGCTGTTTTGGTAATACTTGGTATGTAGGAAATAGGATCTGCAGATGTACAGAAGGAATGCATCGAGGGTGTGTCACACTTTACTATAGGTAAGGAAATTGGAAAATTGAAGATGAAACATTAACAAATATTTGTTGATATAAAAAAAGGGAACCAATACCATCATAAGAAGTATTTGACTTGAAAACTGTTATCAAGATCGTATAAAAATCAGGAATACTATTAATTTACAGAATATGGCAATCAAACATTACACTTCCCTACTAAATTATGAAGTTCTAAGATCTGGAAAATACACTTACTTCATTCAGAGATTAATGCCCTCTAAACACTCTAGCTGATAATATTCACAGATCTGAATACCTTGCAAAAATTATTGAGGCTGCCATGTCAAACTTCTCAGTGACGTCAGAATGTAAACACACAATTGCATGCTACATTCTTGTGGAAACTAGGACAACATTCAATAGAAATAATCTAAAGCATATTGCAAGAGAGAAAAGCAAGAAAGCATTGATACTTTAGCATTTCATCTATAATTAAATAGGGAGCTGGAATTTTATGAAGGCATTTTATCCACAATTTTGCTGTCATTTCTACCGGGCACATTATTATGCTGCTTATATTAACATATTTAGAAACATTTTTGCAAAAAAACAAAAACAAAAAAAAAAAAAACCAAAACGTCAAACAGTGCAAAGTTCTTCAACTGCATGGGTGATCGTAATAGTATTTATGCTTTTTTTTTTTTCTTTTTTTTTTAATTTTAAATTTTAATCAGGTCATATGAATCATTTTACCCTGTAGGATATTCCTATATATATATATATATATATATATATATATATATATATATATATATATATATATATATATATATATATATATATATATATATATATATATATATACTGTATAAGGTATATTCACAACTGAACCAAGGGTTGCATTTGGGGAACAATGGATGGGCTTGGACCAGTGGAAAATAAATTAATATAAGCATTTTATCTGTCCTTTGGTATAGATGTTAAAATGCCATGCAAAAATGTCCATTTTTGAAACTTCATTAAATAACGTTGTATAAAAAGTTTTTATTTTATTTAAACTCTGCATCAATTATATTCTTATTTCCAGCTTTTTTAACCTTTCCAACCCTTTGTATACAATCACAACCTGAAATGGCGCTCTTGGTTCTGGACTCTAAAAAACAGAATAAAAAATTCAGCCCTCCGTGTATTCTCCCCTTTAAAGCTTTTCATTTCTATTAAAAATTTTAAAAATGCCAAACTGAAATCTTATGTTACATTGGTAAAAAAAAATATCATAACAGAAATTGAAAAAATTTTGGTTTATATCCGTGTAGGAGCAAACAACTTCTCAAGTGGTTAAATTTCAATAACGTGAAACGACAAAACTTTTAGCCCAGCATATTTCACCCCTTTAAGATGAAAAAGAAAACAAAAGAAAACATTCTGTATTAAGTGCAAACGTAGGAGAAATCAATATGCACGGTAACATTATGTTATGTGATCAATAAAGAGGGTTACAGATTTTACAATATTATCAATAAAAGAATTGCAAGTAGACAAAGAAGGAATAAAAAAGTTGAATACCCAGGTTGAAATGTAGAACCATAACTTATTTTTATTTTATAAGAAGTTTAGTAATAGACGCACCTTATTGAAAACTGTTAGAGAAAATTATATTGTATGCAATGAAAAGGTTTAAAAGTTCAGAGAATGTAATTTTGAAAGGTTTTTAATCTACTTGATCATTTTTTATACTTTATCATCGATTAGTCGGGAAAAAAATTAATATATATGTAAATTTGAATAAGAGTTTCTAAAAATTCAATTAAAAACGTACAAGTAAAAATATCTTAAATGTAAGCGTTTTCACCTATCTACTTAAGCTTTTTCGGAAATAATAAAGGCTCTCCGGATTGACACTGTTGGAGTAATTTTCAGTTTTCGAGATGCTTAATGTTGTTTATACACCATGTCGTTGTCCAGACTGTCCCGTGTCTCGTTCATGATTTTAATTAAATGATCATTGAACACTATGGACTTATTACAGGTATGATGGGTACAGACCTGTAGAAATTCCAGATACAAAGGCGGAGTAAGCGTCCTGTCGACCGGTCACACCTGCCGTGAACCTATGTATTGATAAGGTAGACGGAATATTCACTTCTCAAATTTTGAATAAGATCAAAAACCTTACAATTGGTATGAAATAGTTTTGTACTTTCAACCTCCCTGACAACATGGAAGTCATGGATTGCTTTTTATTATTGTATATTTAATGTAATTTGATTGTAATCTTTTGTTTCACAAAGCATTACAAGTGAATATAATTGATGGAGAATAAAAAACGTCATGATGTTTACCGATCGGTGCTTTAATTGTATTATTCTTATATGTTTCGGATATAATGAAGGCTCTCCGGATAACATGGAAGTCATGGATTGCTTTTTATTATTGTATATTTAATGTAATTTGATTGTAATCTTTTGTTTCACAAAGCATTACAAGTGAATATAATTCATGGAAAATAAAAGACGTCAGGATGTTTACCGATCGGTGCTCTAATTTTATTATTCTTATGAATTATGTTCCCAAAATCTTTATATTTAATAGAAGGTAGGCTATCAGAACTTTAGATACAAAAATTTGAAATGGAAATCCTGAACTCGATCCTTTAACCACGTCTTCTCATTATATACCTCAAAGGAGGTCAATTCTCTCTCATAATTATTTTTTAGTAGGATTAATATTCTAATGTATATTAATACCTTAAGTATCTAAAAGGGGGAAAAAATTTCTGTGTGTAACATGGATGTTCCCCCTAAGTTAATAAAGAATTCAAGACTTAATAAAGTTCATAGAATTTCACTACAAATGACAAAATATCTTTTACACAAGAAAAAAGGCTAGATTTATTTGAAAATTAATGTCTGTTTCTTGGGAAATGCACAAAATAAGCAGAGAAGAAAGTCTACGTCATCATTTTTGAAAATTTCAAGTGAAAACTTAATCATAAGAATGAAATATCGAGACACTGATACGTACAACTAAATACAAATCTGTGAACAGGTCATAAAAAATTCAAAATGACAAATCACAAGATATATGAAAAATTCAGAATTTTTTTTTCTGAGAAGCAGTTGTCTATGATGTCAGAAAGTAAGGAATGGTTAAATAAAGCAAGAAACATTATACGTTTTGATGCTAATGGTTTTGTAAAATTTTGTGATTTTGATTTTTTTTTTTTGAAATTTCCTTTAGGTTTTTAAGAATTCAGATTTGATTTAGACCACTTTTTGAATATTTTGTAGCGAAGTACAACTGAAGTTTCTCCTTCAGCGAATATTTTTGTGAGTAAGAAAGATAGTGAATTCTTGGAACATCTACTGGATCCTACAATGTATCTTTGTTCAGTATTTTTGGAATTTTGGAATGTAGTTTAGGCACGGTAAATCAATTTTACTTCCGCTCTCTGGAATATTGGAAGTATTTGAAACTGAAATGTGATTTTGAAGAATTTTATCCTTTGGAAGGGAACTGTGAGAATAAAGAAGATTAGAAGCTTCTAACTTGCCATTTTCATATCTGGGTTGCCTTGTATTTTGAAAGCGAATGAAATTAATTCCACCTCCTATTTTTAATTATATTTATCAATTGAAGGGAATAGGTTTTTTCATGAGACTAAAGTTAGTTTGCTGTATCCAATAAACCATTGAAAATAATGGTTTGGAGTTATACATAAATTGAAGTGTATGGTTGTTTCTGCATAAAGTCTGCATAATTTTTTGTAAATTACCGCTCCTTCCAATGATATATCACGACATTCAGTAGGATAATCAAACACTATGTTGTCGGTTCGATTTCTGTGTGTTGAAAGTAATTCTCAAACTTTTGGGTTATAATTATTTGAAATTTTGTGCTGACATCTTAAATTTGTTTGTTTGCATTTGCCCATGACATAAACATAAATTCCTAAATGTTTGAGTTGTATTTCTAAGAAAGTGATTTATTTATCCCGTATCCTCCTTCCTAGCATGTTGCTAGATCCTTTACTGTGCAAAAGAGCTGTAGTCGTACTGTATAATATAAAACCTTTTTAACTATTTCCTATGCAACAACAAGCTATCGTACGCTTTAGGTATTTTAAAAAAAATGAATAAAGAATTGGGGAAGGACGGTCTCACCACTTCAATAAATTGAATAGTTGATCTGGAAGAAAATGGGGTCTTTATTTTTTGTATCGCTAGTTTTAATGATCTGTTTCCACCAGATTTTTATGTCATTTCTACTGAATTTTTGAGTCATCGCTTCATTTTAAAGCTTGTTTGACATCAATGATAAAGTATATGTGGTCTGTACTGAAGTATGAGAACACTGTATTTTCTAATACTCAAACTATGTGGAGATCACATATTAAATATAAATACAAAACTACATTTTCATAATATGATTCAAGGTAAAGATGCCAACACAAAATTTTGAATAAATAAACCGCCCTTAACGTGCAATTCAACAACAGTGAAGTATTTGACTTTTCGCAGATAGGAATGTTAAATACATAGCAATCAAAGGTGTTAAAATCAACAACAAATGAACAAATAAAACTTACTTTTTAACTGAATGGACCTTTGTTTCTGTTTTTCAGTACATGATATGTCTTATCGATAGCTGGATTGGAAAGCCATCGACGGATAACAGTATAAGCACCTCGTCGACAACCTATTAAACAGAGACAGGATACTGCGAAGTACTAGGCTGTGCAAAGTGTAATAAGATCAAAAACATCTCGTTCCGTGACATAACTTCAAATACACATCAGATTTAAAACAAAACAGTTATATGCCTTCTTAAGAATTAAAGCGACAAGTTTGAGGACGCAATTGTGAAAATGTCAGGTTCAAAGTTAACTCATTTTATAAGTGAGTCAACACAAGCTATAAGAAGTGCCATACAGAATATATATTGGAAAGGGGGGGGGGGGGGAGGCACTTACGGATACACATGGTACAGTATATAGTCGGTAGCATTTGAGAAATACACACACAAGTCATAATTTGAGCAACAACAAAGATACGAACCATTCATACATGCGAAAGTATATATATTTATGTGCATAACATGGATAATCATTTATATTGCCCTATTTGGGATCGCTTAAAGATTCGATTCTTTTAATTGAAACAATAAGCACACTGCTTGTTGCTTCTAGTTAGTCTTTCCTTAGTTTATTTGATTATGTCAAAATGTTTTAAGCTAGATGACGGGGTTAGGTTTATGGTTACAACAAAAATTAAATCTTGTCTGCTTGAAAAAATGCTTGATCGATTCATTGTGTAGATTACGTCTTCTTTGTGTATTGATTTTTTTTATTGATTAAAAGGAAGTTATTTTTTGTGTTTTGTATAAATTTCTTATTTATCTTAATCTCTGTTCATCGAAGCGTAAGCAATAGCAATGAAGAATGTTAAAACAAGAACAGTTTTTGATTTATATATTCAAGTGAGTTTAGATTTAATACAATTCATAAAATCGGAGAAAGTAAAGACCTTTCTTTACAAATAAATCTATGTTTTATATGTTCTAGACATTGTACGCAAGAGACCCATTGTTGATGTAGAATTATCTAGTTTGTCAAGTTTCTAAATATAAGCTATTGTAAAAACTAATCATTTTATATAATTCATTCACTGCGTACTAGACCTCTCTGGCAATAATTATTAAGATGGGTCCACTTTTGATCTTGATCTTACTTTTCCATGATGTTTCTTTTGTAAAAGTGAGACTGAGAACAAACATAGTCTCATCTAAGTTTTAAGACTCTGGAGCCTGAAGCTTTAGGTCAGGCAATATTTTAGTTAACTCTAATAGACTTGAAAGCTATCAAAACGAAATTCCATGTAGCTCACCTATGTGTGTACCATAGAAAGATTCACAATTTCAAATAGTTTGAATGCATTTTCTTGAAGACTTTCATATGCAACGTTAAATCAATACAACTAGTTATATATTAGTTTTAATCCCACTTTTCTTTCTCCGTTTCCTATCACAACGTCAGGAGTCATGAATCCACTTGTGGTCATGGTACCCCTGACAATTTTTTTTCCGGTCAGCTTCTCTCATCAAAAAGCAAATTGGAACTTTCATAAGTTGTCATAAAAATTAATCAGAAAGTAAGCAGTTGACATCTCAGGTTGTTTATCTCAGAAAGGTTTATAAATGGGATTGATCGAAAGATAAGAAAAACAATCAGGATTTGTAATTTCCCCGAAAGACATCACTTCAATTAGCCAGTTTAAATCGGAAGAAATGTGTTAGGGGTCCCACAACCACGAGTGAACTTGGGACCCCAGACGTTGTAAGGATGCGTTCAGCTAGGTACTCAACAAATATATATAAACAACCAAGATGGCAAAATTTGATGAATGTATCATTCAATGATTGAATGTATAATAAAATAATTCTCGTTGATTTTTTTTTTTTTGAGTCAATATGATGATTAAACTAATCTTGGCTTCAAGTACAATATTCTCCCATTGGTGGCTCGGTAAATATTGTACTCCTTAGGTGGTAAATCATTGTTTTGACCTCAAAATAGCAATAAATGTATATAATTTTAATTAGTTATGGCCATTCATACTTGTCTAAAATATATGACACAAAAGTATTTATATCAATAACTTAGGTTTTCTAACGTAGATGAGACACTCTCTTAAAAATGAGAAGTCAACTATTTTTTTTTCTTAAAATTATATAAACTTCGACGAATTTGAAAAACATTTATGTCTATGCAATTGTATGAAAATCAGTCATTGAATATATCGATTAATACATTGTAGCCTTATCTGTATTTATTAATATAAATATTTCTAGCTCATTTTTAGGTATTTTTTTCCTTGAAGTATAACTTGTGGATATTTTCACCAGAAATTTCGAAACGGAAAGACCATACATTCCAAGCTCGCTTATGCATTAGGGGACACGAGGATACTTATATGTGGAACGCCTCCTTCTTTGCTCCAAGAGCACAATGTATGCAAAAATGTCCTATTTTTGTGTCACACAATGGGAAACACTTTCAACTTTTGGGCTACAAGTACTAATGTGTACAAGGGCTGAAGCATTTTTTAAATCTTTTGAAGAAAAAGCTAATTTCATTTCTTCCTTGACGTAGTGCTTTCACGCTTTACATCCTTTTCTTTCCTGAATATTTCGTGACCTCATTTCCTGTCTTCGGAAACTGCACTACATCCATCAGATAGCGGACATCCGGCGAACACAATGTTCTTCTTTGTAAAGAGCGCTATCGAAAAATAGTACAAATTGTTCAACCATATATTCTTACACTGTTTAGCTTTTACTTTGTGGAACCTACAGAAGTGACAATTCTGCTCTTTAAATACACCTGTGATTATTAATACTCGATGAAATTAAAGGCCTTTTTTATAAAACCAATTCAACATCATTTTGATCTATTCAGAATGGACTACACGAATTGAAGAACCTCATAAAGGATTTAATTGCAATGTTTTAAAATTGTACTTAAATGAAGCATGCACTTAAAAAAACATATGCTATAATGAGGTCACTCGATTCATTCGGTTGACCTATTGCTATCTGTTTTTGCTATCGGCGTTTGTCGTGCGTTCACATTTGAACATTTTCAGCTTTCTTCTTTTGTAATAAACAATGAGCATTTTACTCAGATTGCGAAATTCAAGGCCCCATGTTCAGGGGTTACTAAGTTAGAATGGGGCTCTATAAATCAGATAGTGAAAGTGCATAATTACTTTGAAAATCTCCTCTGCTCCTGGGCAATTATACGTAGTGCATAGTTATGAGGAGTAAGGTTACCTTTTCCAAAATTGTAAAATGTGAAGCACCAGGGTCAGAGGTTCGGTCTGGGGGATGTCTTTTGATTACATTGTGAAAATGCGTTATTTCTTTGAATTTTTCTTTCATGCTTCTGCATATTAAGCAAATAAATTAAGTGCACGTTTATTATGAGCAAGGATGTCTTTTCCAAAATTGTGAAAAAAGTGCCACCATGATCAGGGGTTCAGATATTTTGTACGGGAACTCTGTTGAATGTAAAGTGAAAATGCATTGTTTCATTGAAATCTTATTCTTTGCTCCTGGGCTTTAAGCAAGCAAACTAAGTATGTTTGTTATAATGAGCATTATTGCCTTTTCCAAAATTGTGAATTTTATGGCCCCTAGGTCAGGTTCTGGTGCTAAGGCGAGGTTTATATTGAAAATCTTCTCTGCCCCTTGGTACGTATGAGATAACACAGTGCATGGGTATGATGAACAATGGTGTTACTTCCAAAATTATGAACCCAGGAGCAGGAAGATGATAAAGTGTGCCTCTTACAAAATTTTGATTTTCATAGCTCTTTGGTCATGGGTCTGGTGCAAGGGTGGGGCTGTGTTGATTTTATCGTGAAAACACATTATTTCTTTGCTTGTTCTGATAAGTTCATTAAATTTTATAATAGATAAGTTTATAAAAAAAAAAAATAGAGAGATTCCTATGTGATCGACTTTGTGCACTGAACACATATGTCGTTCAAACTGTAAAAAAAAAATTCAATTTAAGAAATTTTGTTAAAAACATTTTCAAAAATACATTAGTTTGTATCAATTTATATCAAACTATTTACCCCATCTTTTGCCAATTTAAACAGTAGAAAGACCAAATAGAGTGTAAAAAGTCAAATATCATTGACTTTTATGTTTAAATTTTAGGTCAAAATTGCTGCAATATGTGGTTGTAAAGATATCATAAAGCTCTCAAATACAATGCAGTACTTTCCGGGTTCTCAACATGACAGATTTTACACGTCCTCAGACAGTTATCCTCTAAATAAATGTCATTACTAAGTTACTTGTCTTTTTTTTTACAGCAAGCCCCAACTGTCTGCATATCTATGGCGGCATTTTTCTGCACCCTACATACAAGATAAATTATGTCAACATGCAAGAAAAATATGTCCACATTCAAAATAATTATGTCGACATGCAAGTTACACATACAAACTGTATTTTAACGTAGAACCTACGTCGTATGACGTCATATTGTTTAGAGCGTCTTTTTGGTGCTAGATCCATTATGACGTCATAATTAATTTAATGTTACTTTTTCCCGTACTTTCTCCAAGACTGCCTCTTGTAATGAGGTTACACAGCTGTGGTAATGTAAATGGCATGCAACTATTTTGAAGGAAATCAAAAATCCTAAGAAATCTAAATATAGTATGAAATATATGGAGAAAACGACCAGTATTATACAAAATCTTGATGAAATGTATCTGAGTCAAAGATCTGTTAAAAATTGTATGTAAATTTTGTAATGTCTATCATGAAATGATGTGCATTCCCTTTCATAATTATTTCTTTATTATTCATAATGGTTGGTGTATAATGATAATGTTTCCCTAAAATATTATCTTTTAAAATAAAAAAAATAATTACATTTTAGGATAAATATTCACATTGTTAATCTGAACAAAACCCTAAAACAGTCATTTAATAATTAAATCCTGTGTCAGTGCAAAAAGGTCAACAAAAGAAGTATTAATAAATAGAGTGTCTCTCATTCGTTTGTGGCGAAAGATATATATATTTATCACTTTTTGTAATTATTTAGGTATGTTCTTCATCATATTAAAGATTGAAAACATTCTGACAAAGTATTTTGAAAAATATTTACAAATTTAGGTGGTAAATTGACTCAAAAAATATTGAGCAAATTTGCCTATATCAGTTGAAATGTGGACTTAATCTTTTATGTCAATTGAATAAAAAAGAATTTATTCTTGAATAATATTGCTTAATACGGTTCAATTAATAAAGTCTGTAAACGACGATGTTTGAAGAAGTATTTTTGTGATTTCCTATATTCTCTTTATGACCAGTACCCCTAAAAATGGCTGAAAATATGAAGTCGCAGTGTAAAATTATCATTCCAAGTTGCACAGGCTGTACTACATTTAATAATAAGGAAACATACCATATATTTTTAACTGATTGATAAGCAAGTGCTAATTTATCATTTTGAAAAGTTTGAAAATCTTGTGACAGAGACTTTTCCGACATAGGTTCTACCTTAAGAGAATCGGATTTTAATATGGGAAAATTTTCTTACTAATGCCAGTGTCTGACATCATAGAAGCAACATAAATACGTTGACATGCTATATAAATATGTAGACATGCATCTTATTTATGTTGAAATGCAACTTAGTAATGTCAACATGCGAGTTAATTATGTTAGCATGCAAGATATATATTTCAACGTTCGAGATTTTTATACCAACGTGCAAGATAATTATATTAACATGCAAGATATCTATGTCAACATAATGCATGATAATTATGTTAACATGCGATTTTT